ACTTTTGGTTCAAGGGTATTGACTGTGCAAGCAAATGAAAGCTACCGTGGTATTTTGCACTGAGGGAAATTGCTAATTCCTGGCCAAATTCCAGCATAAGCAAGGAGATTCTCCCTGCATTTATGACCGGGTTAGGTGCCTTTTCTTCTTCTGATCTCTCATGCAGTATCAGCGGCTTTTGCTAAATCGTTTAGCTGTTAGTATTAAAGCAAAAGAGAGCTTCCTTTAGAAATACTGAAAATGACCTGGGTACAGTCATGATTTCAAGAAAGCCAAGTTCTTGTTTGTCTTCAGTTCTGCTGGTGCTACCTTGAATTAAATCTGCAGACTGATACAAGTATTAACAGAAAGGGGCTCTTAAGGAAAAAAAAAAAAAAAATCGTGACCCATTTTGCAAAATGTTCCTCAACCCTTCAGACTATAAACCACTCCAGACAAAAATTATTACAAAGAGGGATTCATTCAGTTAGGGGGTTATCTCTTATCCTATGGCAAGGGGAATGCAGTATTTAATTTCAGTTACTGACTTCATCTCGCACAAGTAACGAAGCAAAAGCAGGTGAGACCTGGCAATTTTGGAGCAGGTGTCTATTATGTGCGGAAATACATGATGTATGCAGAGCTAATCCACCATGTGCTCTGTTGCACCACATCGTGACAGTCACTCCTTTCACACAGTCCTCATTAACACCAGTGGGAGTTCCAGGCACAGGGACGTGGTTTTTGCTTGTGTTAGAATATTTTAAAGGACGACGAATTTCTAGCCTAGGAGCTTCAATCTACCCCTATTTCTAGGGTGAAGGAATGCAGTAATTTTGCATTTACAGAACCAAATTCAAAACCTCTCACAATTGCTTAAATGACATTTAACCTAAAGGGGGTCTGGACCCTTCCCGCACTGCATTTTAAACCCAGCACCCAGGCTAGTGTAAGGGAATGAAACTGGACCCTCGGCTTTCTAAAGATGGGAATAAGAGACAGRAAAATGCAGGCCAAAGCTTTCAAAAAGCAACCATCAAATTTGGGCATCTCATTTTTCAGTTTGCCTAATTTCAGATATGTAGGAGGTGGARGTTGCAAAAAGTGGAGTTCCCACAGCCTTCCCCCTGCAAAAAAATCTAGCAAGAATGGTAAACTTGTCACATCTCTGAAAAATCAAGCCCAAATTGGGCCCTCCTCATTAAATACCTTTTTTATTTCATTTTATTTTATTTTAGCCTTAGAAATCTGTATGACAGGTTGTTATCAGCACCAGGCCTCACGAATACTTGGCTTTCAGCAGCGTGTTCATACCAGCAAACAATTCCACGCTTGAGAGAGCTCAGAGCATGTTCTGCTCATCTCTTTTCCGGGAACTGTTTTGTATAAAAGAACAGGATCTGGGAACCTTGCTCCCCAGACGATGCTCCTCTTYGCATTTTACATTTCCACCCCATGAAACTCAGTGTCATAGGTTCAACTGGCACAGCAGGGGAGGAAAACTGCGAGCAGTGCCCCTCTTTACTACCCCCAAATCCGCCCTGAAAAAAATCTCTAGCTTTAAGGGAAGTGTGAGCATGGATTTCCTAGGGGAATTAAGCCTTGCAAATTTATCATAATGGAAGGGAAGGGCACATTAGCTGCTTGTTGGCCCTTTCTGTGCACCCTGGAGGAACAGCGGGCACTTTTCCCCTCCAGAATGAGCCAGACGAGGGCTATCTGGGCCCTGCTCCCTTCCCCTGGCGCCCCTCGCCCAGCCTGTGCCTCGCCCGGGCCCTCTGTGCCCCTCTCCAAGGTACCGTGCTCGATCCGTGGGGTAACGGAGGGGTCCTAGTGCCTGCACAAGGCTCGGATTTGACTCCAGAAACCAGGCTGCCCTCAACTAGGAACAAAACCTAGCCAGGCCCAAAGGCCAGGGCCTTGGCTTTCGGATAGAAAGGCTTCTGAAAGTCTACTTTTTAAGAATGTGGCCCATTCGCATTTATGAAGACAGGGTCCTATTATGTCAATACACGCCTACAGGCAGGTGTATTTGTCACCTATTTTAAAGGGAATTTATTGAACCCATCAATAACAAAGTTGAGCCATGTGGTAGCCATGCCGCCACACCGCCTGGCTGAGGAAGTAAGGCTGATTGAGAAAAGATAGGAGARCAATCTGCTGGGAAATGGAATAGGAGGGCTGAGCAGTGGGTTTGACCATACACGTGTGGTTAGAGGTGGTGAGAAAGCTATAAAACATTCCCTGGAATTTGGTCTCGGGACAACGTTCTGAGCAGCAGCTTTTTGACACAGCAGCAAAAAATATTTCAAGAGGTTTCCTGACACAAAGCCCTTTAATCCACATGTCTTGACTTCAGGGGAGGTGTGGGCTTGAATTTGAACTGTATCAGGAACCCAGCATTGGTTGTAGTAGCTGCTGTTAGAAAAGCATTAGTTGCTTTTTCAACACTTTCCAGGTGTCAGGGCCAGGCCTAAAGTTTGCTAGGTCAGAAGTCCTTCTGTCAGCTTCCATAGCATCTAGTCAGATCTCCAAGAGGAATAATTTTGTTCTGTGAAGATCAGTGAAATGAGTATAGACATATATGTGTAGCTGACAAGAATTTCTTTTGAGCATTTGTCCAATTTTTCTTTTTTTTTTTTTTTTTGATTAGTAAAGAAGACATATTTTTACACAAGTGCCTGGTGCCAGTTAATTTAAAAATAAATGTTTGTCAAAATGAGCTTTGACGTGTTTTTCCTGGAAGTGCTTTCTCCATGATTTTTTATCTCTTCTAACAGATTAGGGAGTGATCGAGACAACAAGTTACATTCTTACATAGCAGGTGAACCAGGAACTTGCTCTGAATTACCGGCAGGTATGCGGAACATATCCCTATCCATATCTCCTTTTAGCCTCCCCTGGTGTTAAACAGCTGAGAGACCCTAAACTGATGCAGATACATATAGGCAGATGCACATATATATAGATGGAAAAAAAAGGGGGGGAAAAAAAAAGGAAGAAAGCAGAGTACAGCAGCTGAACTCTGAGACAAGGCTTTCTGCAGTGACTAATATGAGTACAGTCTAATGCGACAGTTCACCATCTGTACCCACACTCAGTGCGGAAAGCAACCAAGTTTCTCCAGATGTTACACGCTGCAGAAAAAAAAAGAGGCACACCCAGTTTTCAGTCTTTTTTATTTATTTATTTAAACTGTACACAAATGTAAAATACTTCAACAGCAAATCTAAGTGAAAATTGTTTGGTTTAAATTATTATGGAACAGAACCTAAAAGGAACTTTATTAAATAAACATAAAAATTGGATTTAAAGGATGCACATATTGTAATGTATTCTACAATAGTCATTTTTTCACTCTACGTTCCATGTGCGTATGGTATAGAAAAGACACTGAATAGAACAAACAGAATCCATTTTGTACCCTGAAATAATTGGTAGGCCTCGTGAGGGATTGCTCAGTATGACTACATGATATATGATGGCTTTGCCATCTCATAAAAATTATAACTAATATGTTGGCCTCTTTGGTTCCAAAATTTATGTATAATACATTTAACTGTATTCATTTTTTGCTGCTATAAAAATAACATTTTTTTCAAATGGCAGTTTTTTGACTAATCATGCAACTAAATCAGTGCAAACATTAAAAGCAATCATTCGCTTTAAAAAAGAAGCAAAAGATTTAATTTCAAGTATAAAAAAATATAAAAAAGTCATATCATAAGTCCAGTTTTGTCTAGTATGGGTCAACACTTTAAATTGCATAGCTCATGCGGCACCTGTTTACCTAGATAGTGAGCAAAGATAAGTGCACTATCAAGTACCACTTTTCAAGGCATTGAAATTTGCAAGTGCTATTATACGTGCATTCAAGCAGTTTGCAAGTGCTATGCTGTATCATTATTTTCTGATCTTTATGGCCATCCTTGACACCTCCTGGTAAGGAAATTGAAAGCACTCTCCTCTCTCCTCCTTCCCAAGACTTGTTAAAATGTTCCTCGCCTGTTATTAAATGCACTGCATTTTTCAGAATGTCTCCACTGTATTACTGTCATTCCTCTTTAGGGTTCATTGGTTTAGCCGTGGTAGCCTTTGTTTGTTTGTTTTTCCCCACGTGACGTGTCCTTGCTGAGTCCCCTGTTGAAGAACACAGATTGCAACTTTGATTTTTTGCTCTTAGAACAGTGAGAGATGCTAACGGTCAACACAGTCCGGAAACGACATCAAATCCCCTTTTTTTCCGAGCCACAACAGGGATAGCCATCCACGGATTGCTCGTGGTCAGTTAAAGCATCAGATAATGCCAGCCCAGCTCGTGACTTCGCAACGGTCTGACGTTGGAAACACAGCAGTTGCTTATGTATCTGTCTCCTCTCCTCTCCTTCCTCTCTCTCTCTCTCTCTCTGGTCAGTTAAAGCATCAGATAATGCCAGCCCAGCTCGTGACTTCGCAACGGTCTGACGTTGGAAACACAGCAGTTGCTTATGTATCTGTCTCCTCTCCTCTCCTTCCTCTCTTTCTCTCTCTCTCTCTCTCTGCTGTTATCACATGATTCCTTACTGGAAGTGCGGTATGAAGATGCGGGTATCTGTGATGCTTACATTTAGATAAATTTAAATTAAGAGGAAGTGATCACCTACAAAGGCAGGTGTCCTGCAGCTTCCCATTACATCTAAGAGGTGACAGTCTTCTTTTTCTTGCCTTTTGTCTCCTTAATTTCTAAGTTTGGTCGTTTTGACACCTGCGTGCAAGAATATGTCGCGTTCTCTCAGCTTGTGCTCTTGCTGTGAGCCAAGGGGGCTCACTGGGGCTCGCTTCGCTAGCAGGCGGGGAAGCAGCTGCTGAGCCCTTCACTCGTACGGGCAGGCATTTAGTTACCTCGTCACTGGTCACTGACTTCCTCTCACTGACGTCCCTTTTTCAAGCTGCCTCGTGTGTGTCTGCGTGTGTCTGAGCGCGTGTGTGTCTCTGTGTGAGTGTGAGTGCGAGTGTGCGCGCACGCTCCGTGTGTGTGTGTGTGTTTCTCTTTAAGATATTTCATAGCGTTAACTTATAAGTGGTAGAATATATAAGTGTCCAAGATCCACAAACTGCCACTGTCCTGACACCAAAGTGAAATGATTTTTTTTTTTTTTTTTTTTAAGTCAAACTTTTCCACAGTGACTTTTCAACACTGATGCCTGGATACACAGTGAAACTTCCTCCAATACCATCTAGTACGGGAATGTTCTCTCTCTCTCCCCCCCAAAAACACACCTTAAATCAAGCACAACCACATTCTTCCACAATCATATTGGGAACGTCCCTTTTCACAATGTTGTATTCATCATCAAAGTACAGCATTGACATTGTGCTAAGTTTGGTTGGAATGCAACAGGAGTTCACGGTGCCCGGGTTCAGCCCCCGCATTCGGTACTGATTCACTACCGCGGTGTGAAAAGAGGAAGCTGACCCTGGGACTCCGGCCAAGTAGGCCGGGCAGCTCCCTTCACAGTAATTCCCATAGTAACCTGATGGTGCTATGATCCAGTCATTCCACCCAATGAGTCTAAAGTCAATGTAAAACTGTTGCCTGCAACATAGATTGGTCCTGCCATCACACTCCAGACCTCTTTTCCGGATCCTGTGTTTGTTATCAGCTAAACGGGCTTGCACCACTAAAAAAGGCCGGTGGGATTCCTCCCCGGGGTCCACATAAATTGGCAGCACTGAATACTCTTCACAGCCCTCACATTGAACATCCAAGTTCAGTCTCCTTTCTCCTTTCTCAAACAGAGCCTGGATCGCCTCTGTCATGGGAAAAGTGTGCCAACCACTTCTTTTGAGATCAACTTTCTTTTCAACCACATTCCACTTGTTGCTAGTGTCCGGGTCTTGGAAATAGACTTTGACTCTTACTTTTCGCCTGCTGCCTTTCTCTAAGACATATGGAAGCAGCTTCAAGTAAAGCCACAGGCTGGCTTGAACGACAAACAAGTTCTGGTTCCCTTCATTCGAGATGAAGAAATAGAGGCGGACTCTAGATGAGGCCAGATCGTCTGCAAGATAAGGAGAGATCAGCAAGATTAAGTCAAAAAGAAAATGTATCTTTTGTGCAATTCTGGATGCAGAAACAACACTAGAACGCAGCTGATCAAAAGAGCTAAGCGGCTGTATCAGCCAGGAGGCATGCACTGAATCAGATATCCAGAATTTGCAATAGAAATGAATTGAAAAGGGACTTCCCACAGTAACGTTCATAATCGGGCTATAGTTGAATGTGTCAGATCTGCAGAAACCAGGAAAGGCTCTCCGGAATACACGATTTTCCCAGTCAGCTCTCAGGATGTTACAACGGCACCTTGAAAAGACCAGCGTTTGTACTTGCCTATCTCGCCGGTTTAAGAATAGTTTTAACTTTCAGATAACCCCTGGTTTTCACAGGGAAAGTCTCTTTAGTAACCACTGAAATGTCAATGCCAAACAACGGATTTTGTTTCCATTTTCACATATTCTTGCCTCAGTTTAACAGAGAGGATTCACAAGATCGAGGGGGAAAAAAAAACCACTCAATGACGAGCCTGCTTGCTCAACAGATTAAGCTGTCCCCCACTTAGGCTGAGGGAACAACTGCTCTTAATAATTTCAACCTTTGCATTTTGCTCTGAAAAGATAAACTTGCATAGGAGGCGATCAAGCAAAGCAGTCGCTGTCATCGTCATGTCATTACTGGCTGTTCTCAATATACTTTTCAATAACGCCAGAATTCAAAGAGTGAAATTATCCCAGGAAAGCAAATGTCACCAAATGTCTGACATAGCCCATTATTGGTAAACAAAAGAGCCTGCTGCACGAAATGCCGCAGAAATACCAGTGTCCCCGCCGGAATTTCGCACTCTAAGCCCTAACTGAGTGCGGCCGAGGTGATAAATGTGCAAGCTGGCCTGCCCAACGGAGGCTGCGACTCCGCTGCTCGCTCCGAGCCCTCCCGGCCGCTACTTCCAATTACTGCAGGAAGGGCATTTTCTCCCCTGCCCTTCTCCGTCCGACTTCTTTCCGTACGGAGCCAGAGGTGGCTCGTTCTGCCTTCCGCCTCCCTAAGAGCCTTTTTATTTCTGTCCACCTCTGAATGGGATTTTTTGCGTAGTCAGTATCCTCACTTGTGACTCTGGATGCCATTCAAAAATGCCCCCGGGGCCTGTTTGGTACTTTGTGATATTTCAGGGAGCAAAATTTGCACCGTGTCTTATGTTTTAACATCGAGTAGATTTGGAAGTGTTACAAAAGCGAGCAATTAATTGAATACCAACTGGAACTAGGAGCCTACGGCAGATCTCCTAACAACGGCCTATTATAAAGTAAGCAAACCCAAAATGCACACTCGGAAAAACCTTCCGCAYGGTAGCAAATACACCACTTCTTTATAAACTGTGATGACAGCGACAGAAAAAGAACAGTGCAGTGTTGTTGCACCAATACACGTTACTTGTGTTGTACGGGAACGTGTGCCCATAAATTTTGTATGYGACTATAATAAGCGTATGTATAATGCAACAGATCCCGTAGATACCGAGCATGTAGCTGCTTTGGGTGGGAGGGCAGATAAAGAAGATGAGTGGGCAGCGTGCAGAATAGAGAGAGATTTATTTTGTGGACAAATGATGCACAGATGCCACAGGAAGATAGAGAAATGAGCTGAGGGAGAGCCCGGCGACGGAGAGGGGAGAGGGGCAGAGGGAGCCGAGCTGCTSTGCGGAGCGGGGCCGTTAGGGCCAGATGTGCAAAGTTGGCGGCAAGCGGTGGCTGCGCGAGCGCAGGGGCAGCCGCRAGGCCGCGGGCGCACAGGGTGGCCGGGCACAGGGCGCACGCACGGGGCGGGTGACAGCAGCTACGCGCGGCCGGCAAGGCCAACGCCGCCAGCAAAAGCTAAAGCGGTGGGAAAGGGACGGGGAGGGAGGAAAGGTGAAGGACGGTCCTGGCAGGGACGCGTGCGAGGAGGCAGCTGAGCCTGCAGGGCGGCCTGGCGAGGCGACAGATGCAGGGGATGCAGCAGGATGGGATGCAGAGGGCCCGAGTGGCGCTGCGGGCGCAGCAGCCGGGTGCAGGCAGGGCCGGGGAGGCTGCGGGACAGCGGGAGCTGCCAGGTGCAGGCGCGGGGCAGGAGGGAGGGCGGGATGGGGCACGGACACACGGATGAACCAGCAGGTGCCCACAGCGGGAACAGGCAGGGATGTGCAGGGCCACAGGCAGCGGGACAGGCAGGATACCGGGCAGGGAGACAAGCAGGGGGACAGACACTGAGCAAGGAGACAGGCAGGGGGACAGGCAGGACACTGGGCAAGGGGGACAGGCAGGGGAACAGACACTGAGCAAGGAGACAGGCAAGGGGACAGGCAGGATACTGGGCAAGGAGACAGGCAGAACACTGAGCAAGGAGACAGTCAAGGGGACAGGCAGGATACCAGGCAGGGGGACAGGCAGGACACTGAGCAGGGAGACAGGCAGGGGGACAGGCAGGATACCGGGCAGGGGGACAGGCGGGATACCGGTCAGGGAAGGGAGAGGAGCCGGGCAAGGCCGGCGGGGGTCAGGCAGGGTGACAGCAGGGGCCGGGCCGGGGGACACGCAGGGGACAGGCAGGGGCCGGGCCGGGGAGTGGGGCCGGGCGGCGCCCACCTGTCTCGGCGAAGCTGATGATCTCGGAGACGGGGTCGTGGGCCGGGGGCCCGGCGCTCGCCTGCCCGTCCAGGCTGGGGATCTCCACGCGGCCGTCCTCCCGCACCTTGCCCGCGTGCAGCTTGCGCAGCGCCGTCACCATGGCCGCCTTGGGCACGGCGTGCGTGATGTTGGGCCGGTCCCGCATCTGCAGCCGGCTCAGGATGTGCCTCTTCACCGCCTCCAGGAAATCGCCGTCCACCTTGCCCGGCTCCTCGGGCCGCCGGAAGCCGCACGAGGTGCATGTGTCGTGCGGCGAGGCGGCGGGCGCCGGCGGGGTCGGCGAGCCCGCGGCGCGGAGCAGCCCGCAGGCCAGC